GAACCATGGAGGAGAGCTGCTTCACCAGGTACACTGCCATGGAATAGTTCTGGGAAAATATATCAGAATATCAGGGAAAACCCCAAAAACATCAGGGATAACCCCAAAAACCATCAGGGAAAATCCTGTCTGCAGCACATAACAGTTTGATACAGGATTGCAGGCAGCATGGAGGAGAGCTGCTTCACCAGGTACACTGCCATGGAATAGTTCTGGGAAAAAATATCAAAATATCAGGGAAAACCCAAAAAACATCAGGGAAAACCCCAAAAACATCAGGGAAAACCCCAAAAACATCAGGGAAAACCCCAAAAACCATCAGGGAAAATCCTGTCTGCAGCATGTAACAGTTTGATATAGGATTGCTGGGGAACCATGGAGGAGAGCTGCTTCACCAGGTACACTGCCATGGAATAGTTCTGGGAAAATATATCAGAATATCAGGGAAAACCCAAAAAACATCAGGGAAAACCCCAAAAACATCAGGGAAAATCCTGTCTGCAGCATGCAACAGTTTGATATAGGATTGCAGGCAGTGTGGAGGAGAGCTGCTTCACCAGGTACACTGCCATGGAATAGTTCTGGAAAACAATATCAAAACACCAGGGAAAACCCCCAAAACATCAGGGAAAACCCCAAAAACATCAGGGAAAACCCCAAAAACATCAGGGAAAACCCCAAAAATATCCAAGAAAACCCTGTCTGCAGCATGTAACTGTTGTTATGGGATTGCTGGGCACCACGGAGGAGAGCTACTTCAATTTTATGTTGATAATATTCAGTACTACACTTGTGCCAGTACACTGAATTTCATATTGATAATATTCAGCACTGCACATGTCTCAGGATATTTAGTTTCATGTGGATAATATTTAGCACTGCACATGTCTCAGGATATTTAGTTTTATATGGCTAATATTCAGCACTGCACGTGTGTCAGGATATTTAATTTTACATGGATCATGTTCAGCACTGCATTGGTGTCAGTGCATTTAAGGAAACCTGTCAGGTCAAATGTGATCTGATTTATTTATTTATTTATTTATTTATTTATTTAATAAAAGCCTATTTTGTTTTCAAAATAGGAAAATGAGCAGCAATGCCTCTTCCCAAGATGCATATCTGGAAGCATCTTTTTCTTCTCCTCCTGCACTCAATTGTCTCTGAAATGTGAATTTCATCACCAAAGCAGCTCAGAGGCAGAACCCAACTCTGGCAAGTGCCACAGCTCAGGTGAACCTTCCCTCATGGAATGAATTCTTCCTGCCATGGACTTCAAATTCCTGGGATTTCTGATGCTCTCATTTTTTCTTATCATCTCCAAAAAAATCAGGTTATAAATGTCTTTCTGATAATCTGACTCAGCAGCAACGCCTCTCAACCCCCAGAATGGAAAGGACCAGTTCTCACATTAGGGTACATCTATTATTTTTTGATTTGAACATCGGCTAAACCTGGAGCTGCATTCCTACAATTTAAATAGAAAAATAAAAGTCTTCCCTCAGCAACTGCTACATGTTTCCACTTTAAAAAAATCCATGTAATTGTGACAGCCCCCATCCTTTATTTAGGATCTGAAGGCAGGATCTCGGTGATATATCTCACCACAAAATCACACCAATTGGAGCAGTATCAGAAACACCCCATTTTAAATATTTTATTCTCACAGTGAACGCTTCTCACGTCGTTAAAAACCACTACTGCCTTAACTTGTTTGTTTAATGCCTCAATTAGGAGAGGAGTTAGAAAAATGCTAATTAACGTTGTGAAATTATTTACAGACAGCTTGAATCTACAAAGGCAGGAACTTGCCCCAGGCATCTTGTACAGAAGAAACAGATTGTGCAAAACCCTGGGTGAGGGCTCCAGCAAAGGTAGGGAGCACAGCTGGGACAAGAACTGCCTCTTGAGGGATGGGGGAAAAAGGAACTCAGATTTTGTGCTACACAGGCACAGCCAAATAGAAAATAATCCTTCACATTTCACTGTCGAAGTCTGAAAAAATCAAATTAAGAAAGGTTGTGTCTTAATATCTATTTAGGAAGGGTTGTGTCTGAAAGAATGTGTTGAGGAAGGGTTGTTTTTATATAGAATTCCAGGATGGTTTGGGTTGGAAAGGATCTTAAATGATCCCATTCCACCCCTGCCATGGGCAGGGACACTTTCCCCATCCCAGGCTGCTCCAACCCTGTCCTACAATTCTGGATAAAATGCTTATTTATGCCAGAAGTTACCCAAAATGCTCTTTATAAACGATTAAATCTGTGAAATTATGAGAACCAGGTTTCACAGATTTATCTGCTCTGAGGGATTCACACCTCAGGACTTAGGGACAAGAAGTGCCCCACGTTTGAGTCAGCCCCTTGAGAACTGGGCACTTCTTGTCCCTAAATCCTGCGGTGTGAATCCCTCAGAGCAGCACCTGGCACCTGCACTTCAGCACGCAAAGCCAAGCAGGCTGATTTGGAACTGCTTCTTTCTGATACCTGCAGCTCTCATTAGGTAAAAGAGGATTTTTTTTTGGACTAGAATGACTCAGCCATCCTTGATGCATCATCTGAATGGGGATTTGTTTTCTGCTCCACAAGAAATCCACCACGAAATCCCACCCTGGTGTTTCAGAGCTGCCCATTGTCCCTGACTGGAGTGTAAGCATTTTTCCACGCCGGGCTTTGCACGCTGACAAATTCTTGGCCAAAGTTTCACCTCAGGACAATTCTGGGCACTTCTAAAAACAGGCTGGGGGCAGTGGCAGCAGCACACGGTGCCTCTGGAATGCCCACCCAGCAGCTTTGGTGCCAGCACTGAAAGCAGCTCAGTAATTCATGGCTGGTTGAGCCAAGTCACTTTTTGCAGCACGTTCCAGATTTCATCAGCCCGCTGGAGCATCAGCGATTTTCTGACACCGGGTGTAACACAAAAATGATCAAAACGTGAGGTTTTAAATGGGAAGGATGAGGAGAGCAGCTAGGAGAAATGTAAAAAAGGCCAATGGAATCAGGTGTGCTGTGTCCACACTCACAGGGTCGATGGTGCCCGCTCCTTGCCAGCCCAAGCCAAGCTTTGGCAAGTCCCTGCAGTCAGGAAAAGCTTCAAAGCCTGAAGCTCGGCCAAATCAACAAACAAAAGCTTAGAGGATGCCTTGGTCTCTTGAGCTGAGCCCTCCCTGAGTGACAAAGATGAGGAGGGAGAGATCCCACCCTGAAGGTGAGGGGGGATTTGAGAGAGCACGGAATTCCAGCTGAACGAGGGAATCTGAAATTGGAATTTCAGCTGAACCAGGGGCATCTGAAACTGGAATTCCAGCTGAACCAGGGCATCTGAAATTGGAATTCCAGCTGAACCAGGGCATCTGAAATTGGAATTCCAGCTGAACCAGGGCATCTGAAATTGGAATTTCAGCTGAACCAGGGCATCTGAAACTGGAATTCCAGCTGAACCAGGGCATCTGAAACTGGAATTCCAGCTGAACCAGGGCATCCCCAGCAGGATGTTCTGCCCAGGATCATCCCCAAAGCAGCCAGGAGGGACCCCAGGGCACTCACTCTGCCAATCTCTGCAGTCCAGGACACCACGATGGTGTTGGGGACCGTGGTGGACAGGCGGACGAGTGAGGTAATGTTGATTGGTCGGCTGGGGCGCTTTGGTTCCACACCGTTTTTGGTTGGTGGTAGGTAGCCCTAAAAAACAAAAATTCAGCTCTCAGAAGAAAGAATCCCACAGTGCTTTTGCCTCCCAACACACCCAGATCGAGCTCTGTGTTTAATTCCAAGAGAGAGGGATCAGACAGTAAAATATTGAGCATTTTAGAAGCTCTTTCTCCTGATGGAAATCCAAAATCCTCTCCTGTCTCAGCAAAACTAAACAAAAAAAACCCCAGACTTTGGACCAGAGTTTCTAAAATTCAGTCATTTTTTCTCTGTTCATGTTAATATTATTAAATATATGATCTTGAAAAGGAGTTTTTAACTTCCATATGAACTTGTGGCTCTACTGGCTAGAACAAATTATCTGATATTTTCTATTCATTCCAATGCTCCAGAACGTGGAAACAAAGATTGGGATAAATTTTCAGGCAGTTAATTCCTAATAATGCATCCCAAAATGAGCATTAAAAGGAGATTTTACTTACTGGAAGGCTGCATGGTTTCCCATTGACTTTCACACACAGATTGGGTGGGAAGTGATCTTCTTGTGGACAACTGGTTTCTGATAAACAAAACCTAAAAGCAAAGAGCTGCCATCATCTTTCACTTTTAAAGCGATTTCAAGATCATCTCTTCCTAGAAAGAATTGTTTCTCCACTGAGCCATGAAATCATGACAGATCTTGCTAAACACAGCCCTCAAACGATGTCACTAAGCAGGAAAACCCCCCAAAATTACAGTGCAGCCTGGAGGTTCCTCCTCAGATTCCTTGAATTCCTCAGCCTGACTCATTCCACCCCGATTTCTCCTCTGCCTCTCCTCCAGCCTGACCTCTCCACACAAGACCAAGGTGCCACAAATGACATTTCCCCCACGCCAGCTGCACTTCCAGGCAGTTTCTGCTGTTGGATTTCTTTGTTTCCCAGTCCCCAGAGGTGTTTTTGCTGCTGATCTCCAGCAGGACAATGAGAATTTCAAGGAGCAGCCAAACCCCTCAGCCCCCCTGGATTCCTTCCAGGACCTGCCCATGCAGAATCCAAGAGGGGCTGGCTGCTTTCCCTCCTCACCCCCTTGGTCCATCCCACCCCACCAGGCTGAGACAAAGGATTTAATCCATTTTTGATGGATTTAAAATCCTCAAATTCACCAGGCTGGTGATTCCTAAAGTGCCTAAAGAAGGAGATCTTGGGATGTCCATGGAATCCATCCCTGCTAAGAAAAAATCCCACTCATGGATTTTTCCAGCCCTGGGCCATGGAATGATCAAGGTGGAGTTACTGGAAGGATTCCCTGACAAGAAAATCAACCAGGATGAGGAAAATCAGCTCTTTTCCATCCAGGAATTCCCAACCTGGCTGATAAATCCTAAAAACCAACAGGCAACAAAATCCCTACCTTAGCTGGACCTGTACTGTGAAGTCACATTTGGTCCCAGAAATATCCCTGGAAACAAGAGGAAAAAACGGATTAAAATATCCTGCTTTTGACAAGATTCCTCAGTATTGCAATATAGATTCCCCAGGAGTTTGCTGGAAGTTCAATTTATGGAAAACACTTCATTTTGACACAAAGAATTGGAAAATTCCCAATTTCAGGTATGTATGATGTACAGCAGACTTTGCTGCTCCTGCTCAGACCACCACTCTCAGGAGAGGTTAAAAAGAAGAGATTTTAATTTTTGAGGCAAATAAATAAATTTGTGTCTGACCTCTATTTTTGTGGGGGCTTTTGTTTGATGTTTTTTTGTTGTTTTTTCTGGGGGAGGGTTATTTGATTTTGTTTGTTTGCGGGGTTTGTTTGCTTTTTT